AACATCGCTAGTTGCAAAAAAAAATAAGTCTGATTGCAAGAGAGGAGAGAAAAATCGATCATAAGCAGCAATCTATGAGAGTTAAAGGTGTTGTTCTGAGTCGATAACGATTACTACAAATTTGAGAGTAATGGGGTTTTTTAGAATTATCAAAGAAATTGTTGACCCAAAGAGGACACTTTTTACAGCTATGTAACAGTTATTGTAGTTATTTTTTTAAAATATGGAAGTTTCTCAAAATTAACAGGTCAGAAGGGGTGAGAAAATGACATTAAACCTCTAAACCCCTATTTTCTTCAGCTTCCCTGATAGAAACCTTATATTCTCAAAGCAATGAACACAATTGCTTACCATTATTCATTTCTTCTTCTCATCTTCATGAAGAGACAATATGTCAGTCTTTAAAATTTCAACAACCAATTGGTCGACTGAACTGAAATTTCATGCTATTCAGGATGGTACCCATTTTTCCTACCTGCCATTTTCAGAATTCTGCGTAGAATCAGTTTCCATGTCATTTTTTATGTTATAATCTTCCAAAACCTTAAACGTCTAGGTATTCATATGACTATTCAAGGGCATTGCTATTTCAACAGAGTTTTATACAGACATGAGGTCAGGCAATAAAAGGTACCTTTCCCTAGATTTTCACTGAACATTTTGAAAAGATATGCTTACGTGATGATAATAATTCATGGATGATTGTGTAAATAACCTAGCACTTTTCTGAAAAATCTCATCCAGTGCCTGATACTCAAGGTTTAACATTTACTATCTAAGAATTAAAACAATAATTTAAAACAATGACAAATCTATGTACAAGTTAACTATATTATAAATTCTTCGGCGATATTTACAAATAATACATGTATTTATAGATATTATGGAATCATCAGAGAAAGGGAAATGTCTCATTAAAGCTGTCAGTATCCAACTTGCACCTCGTGATGAGGGCAAATTTTTCCACGAAATGGCGATGATGTCAAGTTTTCCATTGCAAAGTAACAAAAATAAAATAAGTGACTCCTTCAGAGCTGAATGAATTTTGAATGTACTTTTGTCATAACTTGAAAAAAGTTCAAAAGCGCAATCACACCTGATGAGGAATTGTCTTTCAAAGGGAAAAAGTTAAAGAGCAAGAAAACTACTAACTTAACTTTCCAGAAAATCCATGAGTATACGATTGACAGAATAGAGAAGAGGACGCTGCAATCCAATCTATTCAATGAAGAAAAAATAACAGCGTATAGAGAAGAAAAAAAAGAATACCAACAAAATATTACATCAAACAGTTTTTAAATAAAATTTATTTTCGTCAAATATGCAGAGATGCAGTTGATATGATTGGTACTCGAATGTTTTACTGAAAAGAAGAAATAGAAAACTATGGTTAGAAGAGTTTTCATTGCGGGCCATATCGATGGGCTTAAAAGATGTCTTCTCAGAGATAAGGTATTCTCTACCTTGAGACACAAAGAGGCTTAACTTGATGGTCATAATTTAATTACATTTACCTACCCCTGAAACGTTTTCCCTCCTGCTCATCTATAAATAATCACAAAAATATAACAAATAACAGGAATAATAAAGCCAGATCTCTGTATTCAGCAATATTTTACGCTAGTTTGAAGAGAAAACCGGCACTGATTTACCTGTTGTGACAAATAGCGAAAGAATCCTCTCAAAAAGGCTTAAAATACTACAGAAAACAGAAATTCTGCATAAAACAACTATTTCATTCTTTTCTTCTTTAATTAATAAAATAAGTATATCACAGAATAAAGACGACAAAAATCATACTAATACGGTTTACCGTTTCGTCAAGTACAGACAAGAGGAGAAAAGCTGAACGATTCTCCCTTTTTTGACGGAGAAAGAAAGAGTTGAGCTGTCTTCATTACAGCGTGGACAAAAAGAAAGATTTCCTGGTTATCAAAGAAAGTAATTTAACTTTTATGTCCATAAAAATTGAGGATTCAAAAAACTGAGGCTCAAATTGTCAAAGATTCGGATATTCTGGTTCTATTAATTGATGATCGCAAAATAATTTTCACTGCGGGAGGTGAGGCATTTTTACATGGATGACTCACCCGCAGAAGGTGTGAAAAGAAGGAAAATCAGTGACATCCATTGAGTCGATAAACTTAGTTTTGCAGAGAATGGCTGTCCTTTGACAGCTTTTTAATACATGCTTAGCATGGCAAGACTGGTCTATCTCATGCCTTACAGTTTTTCAAAATATCATAGAGAAAACAAGGCACACTCTTCTTCACAACGCTGGCTTCAAGTGGAAATGGTATAAGCAGCTGCTGAGAAAAAACGTCTAGCTGTGCCATCTCTGTCACAATAGATGAATGTTTTTTACAATTGAAGTTGCTTCTCCGCATTACTAAGAGCAACCTTAATTGAGCAATTTTTTGATAGAAGGCAAATAGTAGTGGGTTACGCCCTTTTGATACAGGATGTGTTAGGTATCTAAATCCTAACAATATAAACTGTCCAAAAATATTTATTTTGTGTAAGGTGGGAAAGGGCAAATAAAGCCATCAGAATAAAAAACCCGCGGTCGATTCACTCTTTATAATTGCATATAATGTCAAACCGCAAAATAGTAAATCCGGTAAACGCATTCTACGATCATTCAACTTTCGGCTCTACATTAGATTTCAGAAAAACATTTGATGACACAGCCTAAAAAAAAGAAGTGAACACCAAATATATTGAACAACAGAAGCGGTTATTGATAAAAGAGTGCAAAGCTGTTCATTTTATACTTGCTAATTCTCAGCAAATATGAGCAGATAATACTTGCAATTCTGGCAAGTCGAATTCGAAAATAGTACTTGAAACTCTGGTTATAATTTTGTAAAAATTAGTCAAACGTTAAAGAGGTACAGGGTTAAGAATTTTCGAATGCATTTCTCTCAGAGTTAAATTTTTTGCTGCAAAATCTTTTATTGAAAAAATGCTCAATTTTTATAGACAATGACCTACTGTAATGAGAGATGGCAACGGTTGACTTGACAAAGCTTAAACGGAGAGAAGAGCCAGCAACGCATCCATTTGGACTGAGGTTACAGGGGCAGCCAGCGTCTCACGAAAGGTGTGATTTGTCCTGACAGTTAAATTCAGCAAACAACGATCTTTCTCCAAAATTTTCCTACCCGAATAACAAATCAAAGAATTTGATAAAAATAAACAATCTTCTCAGGATTACATTACTTAAGGATATAATGTTCCTCTACTACAAAGGGACAATATGATACATTATAATAATACACACGGTAATAAAATAAAGCAATTCAATCGCAAAGGTAATCTAAACGCTGACTGAACCACGATCTATTTGACCTTCAGGAGTGACCTGAAGGTAAAAATATACAGGCAAACCTCAACAAACACTCACAAGGATGTACAATTTCTTCTACAAAAGAAAAGAACTGTCTGTGTCGACAAAATTAGGAAGCAGAATTTTCAGGAGGGCCAAGTTGTAGTTGTATGTTGAACTTATTGTTAGTTGTACTTCAAAAACTTAAAGCCTCCCCTTATAAAATGACAAACAGGGAGATCCGATCTGTCGTGCTGAGGAAAAACGCCGTATGATCATTCAGGAGTTGCCAAATATCCTCCAATTAAATGTTTATTCTCAAGGAGAGCTATGAATATTTCTTCTTGAATCTTCAGATGATTTAGATCTGATACCGAATAAAAATCTCTTAAAAATTGGAGGACGAATATTCACAGATTTTTTCGAAAATTCGTATTTTATAAAAGAAAATTTGGCAATGTCTAAGGCTCATACAGCGTTTTTCCTCAGCACGGGAAAGATGACTTGGATATATGATGTGAATTTTCTAATTTTCATACTTACAGGGGGAATCAATGCAGATTCTGAACATAATATCATTATTGCGGAGAAAAAGAGCGTAGGAAAGAAAAATAAAAAAATAGGCCCTTCAGGTGTAACCTAACGTCACTTTTTGATGGCCCTCATATCAGGGTAGCTCACAAACAGATGCTCGTGATGTCATGATAATAATGGAGATGAGTGTGAAAACGGAGCCCTCATCGCAGAAAAATTCTGCTTCCCAATTTGAGCAGGAAGGAACAAAGCCACATTAGCTTTTGCCTTTGACCGGACAAATTACTTTTTTACGACAGAACGTTTGTGCAGATTCCTTTGAAAATTTTAAGGGATTTGCTTCGTACTATGCAGTAAGTTCACTGGAATTTGCACGAAAATCACAACTGTTTTCATATAAAATAAAAAATTGCCCACTTTAATTTGGCAATAGATGATGTGGCTTGGTTCCTTTCTGCTTCATCGACAAATGAGGGCCTTGGAAGACAAGGCGAATAAGAGCAATTTTTGGAAAAATTCAGATATTAATGATCCCAAGTAAAACTAGTCTTCACGCACATTCTGTGAAAAATTCGCTCCCAAGTTCCAATTTTTGAGCATCAAAAAGTCAGTTTGATCTTTCTTTCCGCCATAAGGATCCATGTAATTTCGAAACTTCTAAAACGTGTTTCTCGAAATAGCAAAAACTGCACTTCTGCGCCTTGTCCTCCAAGCCCCTCAGTAATGATGTTGCATGTGTGAGGAATTTGCGATTTGACTATTGATTCTTATGTAAAAGTTCGCAAGAAACACGATTGTCCCACTGGTTTTCTCTGAAATCAACTCCCAAGCTCAAAAAAAGCTCTCAAGTTAAGGCCGAAATGGCCGGAGATATCCCACGCTATCCTGAGAGTCCACCTCTACATCAAGGCAAACTCTCCATGCAAAGATAGGGAGCAAATACATTAGCAGTGATGCCGTGTTTTCAATTTTGGAGTCCCAAATAAAGTGGCAGCCCTGTCAATGCATTTGCTCCCTATCTTTGCATGGAGAGTTCGTCTTGATGTAGACGTGGACTCTCAGGATAGCGTGGGATATCCCCTCCATTTTGGCCTCAACTTGAGAGCTTTTCATGAGCTTGGGAGATGATTTCAGAGAAAACCAGTGGCACCATCGTGTTTCTCGCGAGCTTTTACCTGAGAATTAATAGTCAAATCGCAAATTCCTCACACATGCAACATCTCCATTTTGCTTCCCAATTTTTCAAACCAAATCGATGATGTTAGATGGAGTGATTCATGTTATGGAGTGAGCTGCGTATGCTAGGCGCAGGTTTCATCCGAAATCGAGGTCTGCGAGAAATGGCCGAGCACCGAGGAGGTTTGTGCAGGAAAATCGTAACAAGTCATAGAGAGCTGGGTGCGGAGTGTCGCGAACTTCCGCTATGTCTTACAGGATACTACAGGAAGCCGAACAACAACTGCTACTCCCGCCTTTACTCTTCTGACGTTGATCTGTAACCAAGAAAAAAATAACATAAATCAATCGACTCTCCAACTAGATAAAGCAATGGACTAGGTACTAAAACAGGCTGGCCAAAAAACAGAACTTTTACAGTACTTTTTCAGTACATTCCCAAGAAATTCGGTACCTCCTTGAAATTAAATACTCAGTACTTTTTCAGTACCTCAAATTGAAGAAATTCGAAAATTATTAAAAATTTGAATTTATCGCTCAAATTGCGACAAAAATGTGAAAATTCCGGACCTTCTTAACAGCACTAGGAGCTGCGAGCTTACATGCTGGCACAGCTCATGGTATGGCTATTGGTATCACGTGCTTTTGAAGGCGCTCTATTGCCAAGAATTAATCACGACACCTGAACAGGCCCTGCTGGGGGCTGAACTTAAACTTAACCAATAACCGGTCATCACTCGGAGGACGAAATTACAAATTCTTCCAAAATTAAATAAGAGGCAATATTATGATCGCCTTTAGAGGGACTCCAAAAATGTAGAAGCGTAAAAGATGTCATTGAAATTTTTAAAAAATATCTTAACGAGACAAACCTCGAATAGCCTGTTACTTAAGTCTCAGGCATGATCATATTCTTAAAGGTAGGTTTCTACGCAAAACCCTTTGAAAGGATGAGAGGTGCAAAATTCTCGAGTAAAAAGAGAGAAAGAAAAACATTTCAAAGAGTCTCGTCAAATTTGGATCGCGTTTGGCAGAAAGGAACCAAGTCACATCAGCTGTTGCCAAATTTCACTGGATGATTTAATACTTTGCGAGAAAACGTTTGTTCAGATTCCTTCGAAAATTTTAGGGAATTTGCTTCGGGCTGTGCAGGAAATTCAACGTTTGCACAAAATTCCGCACAACCGTTTTCATCTGAAAAATTAAAATGCCCGATTGAACTGGGCAATAGCTGACGTGGCTTGGTTCCTTTCTGCTTAACGCGGTCCATTCGTCGGTCAGTGGCGTGGCATGTTTTGCGATATATCGATCGATCTGTTATTGAAACGTGTGGAAAAGGATCGATTATCAGGGTGTTCGCAACGAACACCTTAATAATCGATTATTTACCATAGACTCAAATGGGGAAATATCGATTTACATCGAAGCACGCCACGCCACTGTTGCCGGTCGACTAAAAATTTCTTGCTTCGGTTGCAGGCGTTAAACTGAAAAGAAACATTTTTGGCAATGATTTCACTGCAAGAGTTAGGAGTAGATGAATACATTTTCTGCAGATAATACTCATTCAATTGACTATAATTGGAGTTCCTCATCGAAAAGTATATCTTTATTAACTATTCTGAGTGTCACTCAGGTCAGAACCCCAAACCAGACTGAGAGTTAGTTAGATTGTGTGGAAAGTTCTGAGGTTTTTTTTTTTTTTTTTCAGATTTCTCACGTGCCCAGATTTTTCAAGATTCTAGTCTTCTTCATGATTTTTCCTGACTCTACCCTGAATTCTCTGACGTTGGGTTTATCAGTGACGATTGGACTTCGAGGTTTTCCAGACCCAAGGACACCTTCTACGTCTGATAGAGTCAAGTTGAAATGAGTGCAAAGAGGAGAACACTCAAAGAAAAAAAAAGCTAGCCAGCAGAAGGGACGCAAAAAAGCTTGATGCAAGTTAAAATGCACCAAACGCAACTTAGGTAAGACAGCGCTGCCATTTTATTTTACCGAAGGTTCCGGCGCTCCCGGAATCAATTCCGGAATCCATTAGTTCCAAGAAAAATTTAGATTTTCTCATAAGATATGGGTAAAAGGTCCAAAATACGCCCGGATTTAGTTCCATAGACGGTCAAATTTGATTAAAAAACCAAAAAAGCCCTCAAATGAGATCACATAATCGGTAAAACTGACGGAAAACCCCAAAATTCCAAATTCAGAAGATAGCTAAAAAATCCGGGGCTTTCGAAAATTCCGAGATTCAGAATTAATGCCGGGAAATATCAGCACTGACAAGATTATCTTAAAAATTTTCTGAATCTGTCCAAGATTAGTTAAGGGGCTTGGAGGACAAGGTGCACAAGTGCAGTTTTTTTTAAAAAAAAAAATTGAAATATTAATGGTTTCTTGCAAAACTAGACTCAATGCATATTTTGCGATTAATTTGCTCCCAATGGCCAATTTCCAAGTACCAAAAAGTCAGTTTGAACTTTCTATCCGCCCATAAGGATCCATGTAATTTGGAACTCCAAACACGCATTCCTCGAGGTAGCAAGAACTGCATTTACGCACCTTGTGCTACAAGCCCCTCAATTAAGGTCATAGTGTCTAAAAGTTATGACCAGGCTCTTTCCCCGATTTTCTCAGATTTTCAGGAGCTCATTCCCTGATGAGAAACCGAAGTTTCCTCCCACTTCATCGGGATTCTCGGGGGGAAAAGAATATAATTCTCCTGAGTTCCATGTATGACTGTCGATTTTAATTAATCTTCCAGCCATTTCTTTGGCGCACATTCAAAATGGACCACTAGACAAGGTACGAATTTAAGCTATCTGATACATGTTTCTTAACCAGAATTTCTTGTAGAACACGATTCACACTACGAAAATTACCGAAATCAACTTCTAACGAAGGTATTAACGTTTTTATTTCGCACTGATTACGAGGAATTTGAACTGCCCGCTCACAAGAAACTCAAAGCTCTACGTGAGTCAAATCGCGCACTACAACGGTTTCAGCAAGCTTCTCAATCGAGCAATGTTCATTTTCCACCATGTGTTGTTCAAACTATTGGTAATTTGCTGTAGCTGAGCCAAAGTGTCAAGATTAAAGTTGAAGATTTTTACATCGCAGAGACTGTCATGATAAACATTTAGCGCGCGATGTGAATCACGTAGAGCATTGAGTTTTCATGGGCGGGTGGTTTGAATTCACGCATCAAGAATCATTAAATATCTTCGTCAGGAGTTGATTTTGGTAATTTTCGTTGTGCGTATCGTGTCCTACGTGAAATTTTGGTGGAGAAACATGTATCAGAATGCTGAAATTCGCACCTTGTCTAGTGGTCCATTGTAATTTCGATAGTGTTCCTGATGTTTATATCATCTGGTTAACGAAAGCTTCTCAATTCTTTTGATGATTTGAAGCCTTAAATGTGTAATTCAAGAAGTCAATAATAGCGCTCGGTCAGATTAGACCTTCAAATTTGAGGACGAAAGGATCCCTAAGCGGTAAAAGAAGAGATTGCCGGTTTCTGGAACAGATTCCCTGATTTTCCCTGTAAATTTTCATTCCCTGGTGAATCCCAGTTTTTCCCGTTCTAGACACCATGATTAAGGTTCACAATTTTTCCGTATGCTCTACATTTTCCCGAACAGCAGATATCCTGACGACTGCGACTTATTGAGCCGTTGTTAAGTCCCCGTTCCAACCCAAGTTGCGGCGTTGACGATTGGTAAAAAAAAATCCCGAATTTCCCACGTAAAGCCAACTATTATTGCACGCGAAGCGACAACGAAGATCGATTGATTTGCCGCGGGGGTCCTCTGAGTTCGATAGACGCTACCGGAGAGGGAGTGAGGGGGGGGGCGAGGGGGCAAAATGAATTAGCGGCAAGTTTCGTCAACTTCAGCGCGTTCGCCACTCCCCCCCCCCCTTTCAGGATTTTTCGGAGCCAATTTCGTAGCCGTTGTTGACTCGGGTCTCCGGAGTTGCCAAGTCGATCATCGATTGCTCATCGATTCGATGGACTGTCGGAACTATCGAATACTGCCGTGATGGCGAAGAGAGCAGTAAGTGCGAAATTGAAGTTTACAGAAAACGGGCTCTGAAGCGGCTGACCGGAAAATTGTATTGAAAAAAGCCTCCGCCCTCTGTCAAAACGCCACTGATCGTCCGAGAGACTCCTAGAAATCGTTTGGATGATTAAAAATCGATCGATTATATTTCCATTACATAAAAACATATTTTCCATTTTCATGCCAGCGGGGCGATTATTGAAACTATGTCAGCCCGACACGACAAGACATAGCCCTATCTTAATCATGCAATATATCGCAATTCGATGTCTCATCGGGCTGGTTTAAATTTCAATAATCGGCCCGCAGGCTATTTGAAGGCAAGAAAGCCGTAAGTGTTTTCTTCTGAATGCTTTCATGGTTGCGTTTTAGACACACAACAAACACATTCTCAGGTAAGAAATTGGCAGAAAAGGGAGGCACTTTACTTGAATGGAATGTTTTCATTGGCTCGCTGGAGGAATACCGTCACTTACTGCTGTCTTGCCTGAAAGTACGTCATTTTTGGCGCACTTGCGGCTTTCTCACACGACTCGTTTTGAAACAATTCGAATGAATTTCGCTGTTTTAGCTATTTCGGTGATTTCATTGAAACGAGATTAGACGAATTTTGAAGGAGACTCCATTTCGAAAATTTGACCCTTACCGCTCTCTTCGCTATTCTGCCGTGATACCTAGCGAAAAGAGCAGTAAGTGCAATAATGAAGTTTTCAGAAAATGGGCCTAGAAGTTTCTGAGTGGAACATTTTACTGAAAGAAGCCTCCGTTCTTTGTCAAATCACCGTTTTCATTGACTTTCCGGAAGAATGATTTCACTTACTGCTGTCTTGCCTGACACTACGTCATTTTTCGCGCACTTACGGCTTTCTCATACGTCTCGTTTTGATACAATTAAGATGAATTTCGCTGTTATAGAGTTTTCAGTGATTTTTCATCTGAAAAAGTTTAAACGAATTTTGAAGGAAACCCGATTTCGAAAATTTGACACTTACTGCTCTCTTCGCTATCGCGTGAAAATGTTCATATCGATTTGGGCGCTCCAGGTTTGACGCCATGCTTCAGGGATTCATCCGCCACTAGTATAAAGGCCAGTGGCGATTCTTCAATGTTCCATTGAAATTGTAAAGGAAAATTTCACGAAACGTTGCGTGAAATTTCAAATTTCTATTCTTCAATCAATTTTCTATCTTGTTAGCCTGAGCGCTGACTCCTGAAAATAACTTTCCTACAAAAGGCGCGATTGCGACGCGAGC